GGTAGACATAGTAGTAGAAAAGTGGTGTTACTGTATTGTGTTAACCACATGGTGGTAGACATACTAGTAGAAAAGTGGTGTTACTGTATTGTGTTAACCATGTGGTGGTAGACATACTAGTAGAAAAGTGGTGTTACTGTAATGTGTTAACCATATGGTGGTAGACATACTAGTAGTAAAGTGGTGTTACTGTATTGTGTTAACCATGTGGTGGTAGACATACTAGTAGAAAAGTGGTGTTACTGTATTGTGTTAACCATATTATGGTAGACATACTAGTAGAAAAGTGGTGTTACTGTATTGTGTTAACCACATGGTGGTAGACATACTAGTAGAAAAGTGGTGTTACTGTATTGTGTTAACCACATGGTGGTAGACATACTAGTAGAAAAGTGGTGTTACTGTATTGTGTTAACCACATGGTGGTAGACATACTAGTAGAAAAGTGGTGTTACTGTAATGTGTTAATTAATGTTAATAATATACAGTTTTTATAGAATAAAGTTTATAACACAGAATTGTCTTTAGGATATTTACAGACTTATGCTAGATATGTTTATTGATGTTCCTCGTTACAAATACTTTAAGTAAATATGAAACCTAATCTATCATTTTATTGTCACTTTAGATAAGCTTCATTTATTGACTTCTTACTACAGGTAGGTTAAAGTGCACTTGTCTAGACTTTTTAGAGATTTACATTCAAAATTGATTTAAACTACTTTATTATCATCGTATCTGAATAAAATGGCATCAAAATGTAATAAATAAGATTTTAATGTTATGTTAGTTTTAAGTTCTTAGTTTGATAAAGAAATATTTTAAAAAATTGTTTAACTTTCCTAATATGAGAACTGTGACATTTTCTCTCTATATCTTCCCTCTTCTCTAATTTATTTACCACCCCTCTGAGTTAATTAAGTTGTTTCCTTACTTTCTATTGAAACATTATTATAAATGTAGTTAATAAAGCATTTCTAGTGTAAACAAAACATGGAAATGTAGTTGTTGTTTTTTATGACATCCTTAGTGTCATATTTATTATGGTAGCACTGACTCCAGTAGCATGAGGTAAAAATGAAGAAGAAAAAGGACCAAAATAACAGCTAGGAAAATATTGGATTTCAAAACAGGCTGAATTACCACTAAAATATGAAAAGTGTTACATTGTTGTGTTGCTTTTATAATATAAACAAATGTTAATAGTGTTCTGTGATGAAATGCAGAGTGTGTATCAACTTACCCATTCGTCCAACTCTCATGTGACCTATTGTACTTGCATCACTCCTGCTTTCTTGCAATATAATCCAGTTTTTGTTTTAACAGATGTACGTTTTGCAAAAACTTTTTTTAGACAAAAACAATTTTGCCACAAATATTCTTAAGAAAATGTGTCCTTTGTTCAACATGAATATTTGTTATCTTATCAACATTTCTACTGTGACAAGATTTTCACTATAGTATTAGGACCACCTGTCTCTTAAAGTAAATCAAATGGTAGATTAGGCTTTATCCATATTTAAAATACTCGTAACCATGACTCTAGATAAACATAAAGATAATTTTATGTTATAAACTTTATTCTATAAAAACTGTACATTATTAACATTATTTAACACAATGTAGTAACATCACTTTTCTACTAGTATGTATACCACAATATGGTTAATTCAGTGAAAAAATTAACCCTAAATTTATCTTCATAATTTCCATACTATAACTTCTAATATATTTTTTTGTATCTTCACAAAATTTCACAAGCTTTAGTTACATTTATAATAATAAATAAAGAATACACATGAAAAAAAAAAGAATTAAAGTATTTATCTGGGTCTTTGTTTTTTGCTCTAGACTGTTGATGAAACTTAACCCTACTTTTTTTATACTAATGGTACTGATGCACTGAATAATTTTTTATTTCATTAGATAATGCACCAAAGAACACAGAATGATAACATACAAAAAACAGACAATGTGCTATAATTATCACAATTTTTCTGGCTTTATAAATATGCGACAAGAGCCTGTTAAAAAATTCAACTAAACTCGTCGATGTGTTTCCCATGGGAATAAAGTTCGAACTGGAAGCCAAATAGAAAATTTTCTGTACAGAAAACAATGCAACATAATATGTTGTTCAATAGATTAAAACCTTAACTTTCTATTGGTTATAAATAATATAGCATTAAACGTGAGAGAGAACTATTACTAACTTGTGAAAGAGAGGATGTGACAGGTGGGCATGCAAGAGGGCTCTGATCTTCTAATTTATGGCTCTATAACCAAATAAGATTGAATTCTATAAAAAGTATACTTTGTCTGAGCATTGAAAACATTTCAATGATTAACTTATGTTAAAATTTGTACTTCACGGAGAAGTGGTAACTAAATTAGGGAAGTGAGGATACCTAGAGAGCAAATGTCACAATTCTCATAATATGGGAAAAAATCCAGACATAGAAATCCTCTGGAACAAAATATTCAATGAGTGGGTCAAATAGACCCATCTTGTCTACTACAATGTTAAATCATTCACCAAGGTTGAAAGGTACAAGTAGATGTAGTGGGAATCATTCAATGAATGGGTATAAAAGATAAGACAGGAGACCAAACTTTACATACTGCTTGTTTTGAGAATGGACTTGACCAGAAGCAAAAGAAGGTGTAAACCTGATAAGCTTATCATGAATGAGAAACCAGTTACGTTGAAATACCTGCAAAAAAAAAGATGTAAGAGAGTTAAAATTCTCCTTACCTCAAGTTATAATCTTCCTATACTGAAAATGTATTTCTGATAGGTACTTACCTTTTCTCATAGATATAGCTATTCTCGTCTATCATGATATAAAAGTCTATTTAGTGTAGGTAGTTTTAATTAATTAATTTTGTGAATTAATATTTTATGATTGTTTGCTGTGTTTTTTATAATAAGAGAATTAAAAGCAGACAATTGTTGGAAGTTGTGTTTATAAATCATTGATGTTGAGACTATTGAATATCACATGCAATACATTTATGTCAAGAATATAGAGATTTCTAGAAGGCAGGCAGACGATTGAGTGATACATATATAAATAGTGTGAGATGAGTGGAAACAGCAGACAGACAGAGCAAATGAGAAACCAGAGAGTGGGAAGTAGAAATGCGGCCAACGAAATGGTTAGAAAATGAAAAATAACCATCGTAGGAGTGGACAGTCTAAAGGTTGATATGTTAAAGTGAGATTAACAGTTTTTGACACTTTAGGAGAATAATTTGTCTTGTCAAACAGTGTTCTGAAGCAATTGAACCTGCCTGTGTGGATATTGACAAAAAAACAGACAATTATTGGAGGTAGGTCTGTATGCAAAAAAAAAAGCAGACGAGTATCAGAAGTTCAGGATTCAACTGCAATAACTCAACAAGGCAGTGTAAGTGAATTATACACAAAATACTAGTATGATAGAAATAAAAAATGTTAGTTCGACTTGTCAACTGAAATTCTAAAGTAATTGAATAGGCCTAAGTTGACTTTTGACAAGAAGAAGAGAACTATATATATAGTGTCTATGATATGCCAGTAATCTCTATAGTGTAAAGAATTTGTTGTACACACTTTTAACTTGTTCCAAATATATATATATATATTATTTTGAAAACAAGTGGAGTGGATGCTGTTCATTTATTGCATTTATCTACTTACTATAGAAGAATCCTAAGACCAATAACAACACGCTATATACTTATACCCCTATGAAATATAAGTAAAAGCGTTTAATTGACAATTGGCAAACATAACATCTGACATTGTTCAATGCTGCCCTCTATATGCAAAAATTTGTTCGCGTGCCACAAGCCTTGGGCTCCCATATACTCCAAGATCAAGGTGTAGTGTAGCTAGGGCAATGTTCAGACTGTATGATTTGGTATGCGTTCAGTTGTACAATTTACTCACCTTACATATATAAACAGGGACTATGTTCCTTCATGTCTAGTGAGGAGAACACTCTGCCCGATTCAGTTGGCTAATAGAGGATAACCTGCACTACACCGAGACAGACACCCCTGCCCTACTTCTCATCACATTATGCTGTCTACTTGGACTCTCTCTGCACAACTGATGAGGAACTCTCTAAATTTACCATCCCAGGAACTAAGAGTGGAAAGGTCTCCCATGTTCTAGGTGAAGACTGGGTGGGGTGGGGGGAATTTATGTTGGGGAGACACCTATGTTCCTTGGACCAAGTTGGATCTAACCACCAGAAAGTTCTTTAACTGGATGAAATGTAAAGAGTTATTGCAAAACCTAAACTAACACAGTTCCTGTTATATCATGAGTCTAAGTGGAAATAGCTCAAGGATAGCAGCATACACAAAATCCCAACAGCATACTTACAAGTAATAACTACTGTATGTAAAGTGATAACCATCTTGTTTCAGAAGAAGCTATTGCAAGGTTAGCTGAAATTTTTGGGAGGGGATTAGTAAATTTTAACACCCCATGATGGGCTGAAGTATTAAAAACAAAGTCGTAACAGAAACATTATCAGTGAGACCTGCAGTTAATGAATGCTGTATAGTGGATATTTGATCCTCACTAAAAGAATCAGAATAACAAGAATAGCTAATAGCTGAATGTCTTGTAAAAGATAAAGTCTGAGAAAACAGCATGGAGCACATAAAATTAACAATGATCAAAGATCATGTGGTAGTGGAATAAAAGTTACCTTATTATTTTGTAAATTTCTAACAGTATAAGCTACAAAACAAACATCAAGAAATAGTGAAGTAAACAGGGGTTAAAGTATAGAATTATCCGACATGACACTAACACACTAATAGAAGCTGATTCAAGATGTAAAATAAAATATACCAAAGAAAAAAAGGAGAAATAAGAACAGAAAAAGTTTCAACAGCATTATGGCTACCATACAAAGCCCTCGTTGCAAATAACGAAACAAAAAATGGACTGAGTAAAAGTTGATATGTTTCAAAATCATGTGAAAATTATCAACATTCCACAAATCAAGCATCCAAGGCATCATGAAATGTGCCAGGGATCAAGTACTACCATTGTGAAATGTTCATTAATAAGGGACAACAATGCAACAACTGATTCACCCTACATGCTAAAGACAGACAGCCTCCACAGAAGTTGGAACTATTTGTCTCAGAATTGAAAATAACTCCCTAATAAATTGAGACAAATTTAGCAGCATAAATAACTTTTTTTTTTTGGCTTGTATGTATTCAGGTTGTAGGAGGGTGTACTAAATCATTAATTAGCCAGTTGGTTAATTAACCAACAAATACCACTAAATAAAACACATAGATGCTTGTTAATACCAAGTATGTTTTTTATTCAGCAACATTTGATGTCTTCTAAAGTGGGCCATTCAACAAATATTTCTCTTGCATGTTTTCATCCTGTTAGATGTGTTTAGTTGTCTCTGTTCTATCAACCAATCAAATTCATGTTTTACTGTAACAGTCCTGAACGTGTGTGTAAATACTGTAATCATTGTTTGTTTCAGAATCTGTTGTGTATCATCCAAGCTTTAATCTAATCTACAGAGACATTTCTTTAAAATAAAACCTTCATTCAAGGGATGTATTTACCATTCAGTCTTGATTTGTTTTGGTGTATATATATATATATATACCTTTTTAATGTTTTTTTTAATTGACTGTGTTAAACCATAATCATAGTTATTTATTTATTCAGTTACTAAATCATTAAATGTATATATATTTATTAATCCTTTTGTTTCTTTAAATGCATCTTTTGATTGTAGATCCAGATCCACACTTGAACAATTATTCTGGAAAACAGTTTCCTGGACATCAAATTGTAAACAACAATTACCAGTTTCTGAATCCAAGTGATAGTAATATATCTGATAAAACGTTGTTGATGGTAAATAACCAGAAAATATGTAACATTTCCCATAGTGAAGCTACAGCATGCAGTAACAATGTGTGTGACAAAGAATTAGAAAGTAAACATCATCTAGAATTAAATGTGAGGTCACATCCTGGGAAGAAACAACACAGGTGTGTAGTGTGTGGCAAACAGTTTGTAACACAGAGTAACTTAAAAATACACTTGAGGATACACACTGGAGAGAAACCGTACAGTTGTTTAGTTTGTGATAAAAAATTTAGGAGTAAAAGTCAACTAAATAGACATAAGAAGGTACACACTGGAGAGAAACCGTACAGTTGTCTAGTGTGTGGTAAAGAATTTGTAAATAATTCCTGTCTAGAAGAACATGTTAGGATACATACTGGAGAGAAACCATACAGTTGTGCATTATGTTGGAAAAGATATCGAAGTAAAAGACAATTAACAGTACATGAGAGAGTACACAGTGGAGAGAAACCATATACTTGTGCAGTGTGTAAAAAAAAATTTGGGAATAAAAGTCACCTTAACAGACATGAGAAGATACACACCAATGAAAAACCACACAGTTGTTTAGTGTGTAATAAAATAGTTCATGGCAGTAGTCAGTTAAAAAAACATGAGAGAATACATACTGGTGAGAAACCTTTCACTTGTGTAGTTTGTGATAAAAAATTTGGATATAAAAGTCTTCTTAATGCACATGAGAAGGTACATACTGGAGAGAAACCATATGAATGTTTAGTTTGTGGAAAAAGATTTGGGACAAATACCTGGCTACAAGAACATGTGAGGATACACACTGGAGAGAAACCATACAATTGTGTAGTGTGTAACAAAAACTTTCGAAGAAATACTCAGTTGAAAGAACACGAGAGAGTACACACTGGGGAGAAACCATACAGTTGTGTAGTTTGTAACAAAGGATTTCGAAGCAATAGTCAGTTAAAAATTCACGAGAGAGTACATACTGGGGAGAAACCGTACACTTGTGTAGTTTGTGATAAAATCTTTAGGAGTAAAAGTCATCTTAACAGACATGAGAAGGTGCATACTGGAGAGAAACCATACAGTTGTGTGGTGTGTGGTAAAGAGTTTGTTATAAATACTTGGTTACAAGAACATATGAGGATACACACTGGAGAAAAACCATACAGTTGTTTAGTGTGTGGCAAAGAATTTGTAAGTAACAATAAACTTAAAACACACCAGAGGGTACACACTGGAGAAAAACCATATAGTTGTTTAGTGTGTGGGAAAAAATTTGGAAGAAACATTTATCTTAAAGCTCATCAAAGGACCCACACGGGGGAGAAACCGTACAGTTGTTTAGAGTGTGGGAAAAAGTTTTTAAGTAATAATAACCTTAAAACACATAAAAGGATACACACTGGAGAGAAACCATTCAGCTGTTTTGTGTGTCATAAAGAATTTACAAGAAATTATAGTCTTAAAATGCATCAAAAGATACACAATGGGGAGAAACCATACAGTTGTGCCAAAGAGTACAAAAGAATTAGATACATTAGAGCACATTAAATAATACACGATGGGGAGAACTTTCAATTTTGTAGTGTATGGTAATAAATTATTACCTGAAAAACTTGGTGAAGAAATCCATCTCAAAATCATGATATTACAGATGCTGGAGAGTATCTATTTCATTGTTTTGTGTGTGGCTTGAAAATTGTAATAAATAGTAACCTAGAAAAACGTGAAGACACACATACACACACTGGGGAGAAACTGTACAGTTTTGTAAGGATATTTTACATATCTAAAATACATAACTTACACAGTTAGAGGAAAACTGCAAAAGTCTGAAATCAAGAAGTTGTAAACTGATAAAAATAACAAAATATACAAGTTTGTTGTGTGTGGCAGGGATTTTGGAAGGTAAAGCTGTGTATCAAAATACATGCGGGGCTTAATCCATTTTTAGGTTGGTTGTTGTTAATTTTTTGTTTTGTGTTTCTGAAGAAATTAATGGTGAAAGACATCACTGGAGTCAAATCTTTCAATTGTATTATACAAATCCATAACATAAAACCTATATATATAGTAAGTACAGATCCTGCTTTGTGCTCCATCGATCTGCATGTAGGTACCTCTTCTTCAGAACAAAAGAAACCAAAAACTTTGATCAAAATAGTACATATTCAGAGTAAAAGGTGAAAATTATTGTGCCACAAGAGACCAGGCAATATATGTGTCTTCTTCTGGGTGAAATTAAATAAAGTAATATGTCAACAACAATATTTGCTATATCCAATACCAGATCTCATCAAGACGGCTAGGATACGACAGATATACTAATGGTTGAGATGCTATTTGTTATTAAATTTCAAGTAAGTTTTATTTAGATAATGCAGTATGTTGTAGATAATTAACCAATCAAAAGGAGATACAGAAAAGCGAGAGAGAAAATACATGCAACCTCTGTAACAGAAAAGAAGCATTATTAGTTTTGTTAAGTTAAATGTATAAATAACCAAGTAATACATTTAAGAAAAAGTTTTTGAAACTTAAATGTCTGTGTAAGTTATTGAACATTTACTCATTGTTTTTTTTTAAAACAGTAGTATATGAATATCACCAATACACTATCCTACCAAAAGTCATGGGACACGGGTAGTTATGAATAAAACATGTCTTTATTCCTAGAAATTAATAGCCTTTGGCCTTAATGACTGCTTCAGTGTGTTGTGGAAGACTGTCTACCAATCTCTGGTAGAAAGCTGGTGATATTGTGTTCCACTCATCCTTTAAAGCATTAGTGAGTTTCATTACTGAAGAGGACCGTCTTGGCCTTGCCCTAATTCTGTGTTCCAGTTCATCCCAAAGATGTTCCATTGGGTTGAGGTCGGGGCTCTGTGCTGGCCACTGCAATGTTCTAATGTTATTCTCTTCAAACCATGTGTTCACAATCCTTGCTTTTTGACAAAGAGCATTATCATGTTGAAAGGTTTAAGGACCGGTACCATAAAATTGCCACAATGTCGGACAAACAGAGTTGTTCAGAACATCAATGTAGGACTCAGCATTCATGGATCCATGCACTGCAACCAGTGCCACAAGAATCATCCCCAGACCATGATACCACCACCTTCAAACTTCACTGTTGAGACAACACATTCAGGTAATAAGAATTTTCCAGGCATCCTCCATACCCAAACACGTCCATCAGACTGGAAAAGTGGGTAGCGTGACTTGTTGCTCCACAGAATTGGTGTACCTTGCACCATGCCAATCGACTGTGTGTATTTGTTTTTGTTATCAACGGCTTGTTGGCTGCAGCTCTTCTGTGAAAATTCATGGCATGCAGCTGTCGATGTGTCGTGGAAACACTTATAAGATTGGCTGTGGCTGCTCGCACCTCCAAACACAGATTATCTAGGGTCTGATGGCGAAATGAGGAAACCAGCCTTCTCAAGGTACGTCAGCTCTTGTCAGTCAGTATTTTATGCCTACCTGGTCATTTCTTGGGGTCATTGTCACATGTGGACTTCCATTTCTTCAGCACGTTGCTAATTGTCAACCTGGGAATGTTTAATTGTTGCACAATAGCAAATACAGACATTTTCTCCAAATGACATCCAACTCTCCTTCTGCACTGAAACTGTTAGCTCTATCCGTGTACTCATCATTCGGAATGTTCGAAATGACTTCTGAGTGAACTACTGTTCACCTTTGTAGGCCAAACTATTTGCACATTCCATCATCACACCCATTTTCTTGCAATCAGAGGTGTGTTCCATGACTTTTGGTAGGATAGTTAATTATTTATCATTATTTTGAATGTCTTCTTTACTTCTAAAACGGTGTTGTAATTGTGTTTGTTAATTAAACTTTTTTAATCATTTTACCTCTTTTTTCAATATTGTATATATATATTTTAACAATAATTTGATTTACATAGTCAAATGATATAGATAAATCCAACAATAAAGTTATGAGAAATTCAGTTTTCTCCAAATTACTAATAACAATTTTAAACAAAATTTATGTTTCATTATGTGTAGATTTACCCTTACAAAATCTATACTTAAAATCAAATAAATCAAAGTCTAGTGGTAATCCATTTTCTACTAATATTTTTTAGAACCTATGCTTATAATTAACTTAGAATCTATAATTATTGTATGATAATTACAAATTTGTCTTGTATCTCCCTTTTTAGATATTTGTATTACTGCTTTTTTCAGTCTGGAAACATTTCTTTATCAATACAGAAATATGTATTGCAATAGGACAACTGTTGATTCAGTAATTACTAAAGAATTATAGTCTAATGAAACTGATTTAATTATTGTAATATATCAGTAGTTTCATTTTTGGATATTGGTTCGACAAATAAACTAGCAAATTTAGTTTTGAGATTATCAAACTATATTTATTACTCGGCTGATTTATTTCACCATCTTCTCTATCAGAGAGTACAGTATCGATCCCCAAGTAGGGATGGATCTGGATAAAAATGGGGGCCTGTACATTGTTTGATAGCACGTACGCCAGGACGTTCGCAAATGAAAGGCCTTCACTAATCAAGTATAAAACTGCCTCTAAAGTTTGGTTAACTTTCCCTGACGTTTAGAAAATCGGCTACAAAAACTTCGTAGGATGTGCCTTTTTAAACCTACAGCAGCAAGTGATCCACGATAGGTTAGTAACAGCCCAAGCTAATAATCATGATCTCTGATCATTATGCCATTATGTGCATTATATGGAAGTAGATAATCTACCGTATACCCCTTACTGCACCACGCAGTATCCAGGTATTGCTTCAAGAAGTAACGTTTATAGATTATATTATGGCTCCCTATAGAATATGACAGAATAAGTTGGTGAGATGGTGCCTTCCACCTAGAAGTGCAGAAACTAATAAAATATTTATTCTAAAATTGTAAGGATGGAAAAACATCAGAAACTAGCGAGCATTTGGCATGGGAGGAAAATCTGCTTTACCCGTTCCTGCATTCCAATACCTAACATACATATGCATCCACCATGTGAGTGTAGTGTATGAGTGGGAGTGGTGAAATGCAGGAATGGATAATGCAGTTTTTCCTCCCATCACAAATGCTCTCTAGTTTCTGATATTTTTCCATCCCAACAATTTTCGAATAAATTTTTTGTTACTAAATCTATTAAAGCCTCCCTGTGGCTCAGTGATAAGTCTGCAGGTTTAGAATTCTGATAATTGGATTTCAATAGCACATTAGTAAGAGCACAGATAACCTATTGTGTAGCTTTGTGTTTAACAAACTAAATTATTCACAAAAATAAAGCGTTATGTACATTCACTTTTAATAAATATGTTATTGCAAAATTATCAGTGGTCATGTCACCGTTTCTCATATGTTTTACATATCTCTGTGAAAGTAGAATACCACCATAAGTTTTTGTGATAACATCATTTATTTCTAAACACACTACATTTATCATAAGTTGCATGAACAACTTTATCGACCTAAACTAAGTTTAAGTTGATGAAATGTGACTTTTATCAATTCGACTTAAATCTTTTTTCACGCCAGAACTGAAAGAAAGAAGAATAAATATATACAAAATGTACTGTAACTTCAAAACCGAGAAACATAAAATCAGGGGAACGCTTATCTACTAATGTATGATATTTAATAATAATAAAAAACTAAGTAAAAGAAAGCAAGGCAAAAAACAAATTTAAATAAAGAAACTAAAATCTGTTTTATCATACAAAGCAACACTCATAACAATCTATATACTACTAAAACTCTGAGATTGTTTGTTTGCTTGTCTGTAACAATACAACACAAAATACACAGTTCTCTAAATATAAGATTTATACTCCAATATTCACTTTGCCATACGAGGTAAAAACAAATCATAACATATATCATGAAAAAATGAAACGATGGTTATAAAACCTTTCTTAATAGAACATAAAAAATATACAAAACGGACTTTTCTTGGATATTTCAGTATTAAGAGTAAAGAAATCGAATGGTAGTTATAAAAGGAGTCATGAGGTAAGGTGAAAGAAAGTTTAATTAAAAATTGAACAAAGTATCTTGGAAATTATAATATAATTGAAATACATTGTTTTAAATACAATGCACAAATTAAGTCCGAAATTACATGTAATACATTAAAAAACTACATGCATTAAAATATAAGTTATGTATTGACGTTTGACCAGTTTATCAGAAACTGGACAATGATCAAAAGCTAGATGATAACCATATAAATAAAACATTTTAGTTGACGTTTTAGAATATCACAGATTCAGTAATCTGAAGACAGAACGTGCAAAATTACAAGTGAATTAGAACAGATTTGATGTAAAAGTGGTTATGAGTCGCTTAAAGCATGTGACTTTAATTTAGTGGCCAGTTTGTTGTGACACTTGGAGGTTATGTTCTTCCACTTTTATAGAATGATCAAATGTGGTGTAGGTAGCGCACACACTGTTGGAAGGATAGCAGTGTTTTCTGTATACAGTAGTTATATCTCTCAATTTGATCCAGAACTTGTGGTTTTTGATGTCCAAGTATTATAATTCAATATTTACCAAAAAGGTTCAGAAAATGTTATGCTTTATTCTAAAAGGTACACTGATAGTGTTGTTTTTTTTTAATTTCGCGCAAAGCTACACGAGGGCTATCTGCGTT